CGACTTACGGTCGGTTGCATCTGATGCCCAGTCTGCGTCTGAGTAGGTTCGAAGATTCAGAGAGCCGTGTGTGATTGGTAAGCCGTAGGTGAGAGTTCCTTTGACGTATCGTAGGAGCCGTTTGAGGTCATGGAAGTCCTGTTCAGTGGGAGTTTGCATATGCTGACAGACACGGTTGGTGGCATACGCTATGTCGGGTCTGGTGATCCAGAGGTATTGAAGTGAGCCAGTGAGTCGGCGGTAGAGGGACGGATCGGGATGCGACTGTAAGTTTGGTTTCTTCTGGTGATTGACGGGAGTAATCGGTGTTGGTGCGGACTTGCAATCCTTATACCCTGCATCATTAAGAATTTTGGAAGCGTAGTGTTCTTGAGAAAGAAAGAAACTATGTTTAGTACGGGTCACCTGGATTCCAAGGAAAAGTGAGATGTCCCCTAGCTGTTTGAGAGCGAATTGTTGTTTGAGTTTGGAGAGAAGTCGGCTAATGGCTGCAGCATCATTACCTGTAACCAGAAAATCATCTACATAAATTAGCAAGTATATGCAGATACCGTTTTGATTAAAAATCAAGAGTGAGGGATCGGAACGACTGAACCCGAATCCGAGTTGTTGTAGGAAACTCGTTAGCTTTTGAAACCATTGTCTCGGTGCTTGCTTTAGGCCATAGAGTGATTTTTGTAGTTTACACACTGCGTTTGGTTGGGTTGGATCGGCGAAGCCCGGAGGTTGCCGCATGTAGATGTCGTCTGGTAGGTCTCCATGTAGAAAAGCATTAGCGATGTCCAGTTGATAAACTGGCCAGTCACGGTTGAGAGAAAGAGCAAGAAGAAGTCGAATTGTAGGCATCTTTGCAACCGGGCTGAAGGTCTCATTGTAGTTAATGCAAAATTTCTGATCATATCCGAGAGCGACGAGTCGTGCCTTATAGCGGTCGACTGTCCCGTTGGGTAGGAGCTTAATCTTGTATGTCCATTTGCAGCCTAGGACGGGCTTGCCGGGAGGGGGAGGGACAAGTGACCAGGTGGATTGCTGTTGAAGAGCGTTAAATTCTGCCTGCATTGTCGCCCGCCAAGGTTCGGATTTAAGCGCCTGAAGATAAGTAGTGGGAGTGACAGGAGGAGTAACTTGAGCAATCAGATTGAAGACCGGCTTCGGTTTGCGGATACAAGATTTGAGACGTGTTTGCATTTGATGAGTAGGGGAAGTGGTATGAGGGGTTGGTTGGACGAGCTGAGAGTCTCAGGAGGCGAGGGTGAGTTGGATGAAGTGTTTGGCTGTGTGTCGGAGATCGAGTTGAAGCTGGCAGAATTGTGAGAAGGCATAGTGTGAGTTGTAGTGGAGGGAGTGATAGTGGAGGAGGGTGTTAGAAGTAGAGGGGGCATGGGGGAGATATGATCTGATTGGTGCAAGGAAGGCTGATTTGAGTGATGCTTGAGTGGGAACTGAGTTTCATAAAAGAGGATGTGTCAAGAGGTGTAAGTGCGACCGGTGAGAAGGTTGTGACATAAGTATCCTTTTTGGTTAGGTGAGTAATTGATAAAGACACAGGGCTGAGATATTATGGCAAGTTTGTCCGTGGAGTAAGGTTTTAACCAAGGATAGCATAAGCAGCCGTATGTTCGAAGGTGGGTGTAGGTCGGAGAGGTACCTGTGAGGCGTTGGTGAGGTATTTGATTAGAGATGGATTTGGAAGGAAGTTTGTTGATGAGGTAGTGGGCGGTGGAGAGCGCAGAAGACCAGAACTTGGAAGGTAGACCAGATTCATGTAGGAGGGCTCGAGTGAGGTCCAGAAGGTGACGGTGTTTGCGTTCAGCGACACCGTTTTGCTCGGGCGTGTGAGGGCAGGTCAGCTGATGGAGAATACCGTGATCCTGCAGCAGGCGACGGAAGGCGAAGCTAGTGTATTCACCTCCGCCGTCGGAACGGAGAATCTTTGGGATTTTATTGTGTTGAGTTTTTATGAGATTAAGAAAATTCTTGAATGCCATTAAAGCTTCGTCTTTAGTATGAAGAAGATAGAGCCAAGAAAAGCGGGAGTAGTCGTCAATAAAAACAATGTAATATCGATGACCATCAAGAGAGATGTGAGGAGCCGTCCCCAGACGTCGGTGTGAACAAGCTCAAAGGGTTGCGAAGTAATAGTAACTCTTTTATTAAAAACTAACTTGTGGCTTTTAGCCTGGTTACAAGAGTTACAAAACAATGAATGAGGTACATTAGTAATTTCAGGAATTAAGCGAGAAAGGGTGTTGTGTGTGTCTTTGTTCGGGTGTCCTAGGCGAGAATGCCAGTTGCCCGAGTCGTTGGTTTTGGCCGTGAGAGCTGAGTTCTTGATGTCGGATGCGGTGCGGAGGTGGTAAAGACCGTTACTGAGATGTCCATGAAGCAACGGACGGTGGTCCCGTGAGTCCTTTATGACGAAACCATTAGCATCAAAAGAAATGGTAACAAAGTTATCGGAAGTAAGTTTTGAGACGGAAAGAAGATTGTGTGTGAGTGTAGGAACGTGTAGGAGATTGTTGAGATGTAACTTACGAGCGGTGTCCGGCAAAGGAAGGAGACCTTGACCGGTATTGGTGATGGGAAGGTTGTTACCGTTTGCGGTGGAGACCGTATCCGATCCGTGGTAGGCAGTCGGGTAGCAGAGGTGGTTGACGTCCGGAGTTAGGTGCGTGGAAGCGCCTGAGTCAAGAATCCAGTCTTGATTGATTTGAGCGGACGGATTTGCGAAGAGAGCCCGGGGTTGACGATTGTCGGCAGGAGCGTATTTAGGATTGTGGCGATGCCAACAATTGAGGCAATGTGCCCAACTTTGCCGCAAATTTGACATGTCGGTCTTGTCGAAGCAGGTGCGGCGGTAGTCACAGAAGTCGGAGCAGAGGAAAATTGAGATGATTGCGGATTCTTGGGTTTGGCGAATCTTCTGTTGTTGTTGTTACGATTGCGAGACGAGTTTGAGGAGGCAGCGTAGAGAGCCGTGGGGTTCGGTTCTTGAAGATTTTCGTGCTGAAGGTGAATTTCCTCATTGCATAGCAAGGCATAGAAGGTATCCAAGTCAATTGGTTGGAGGGAATTGCGGATTGTCGATTTGAATGAGTTGTAAGTTGGCGGGAGACCGTTGAGGATGTGAAGCATGACATCTTCAGACTCAATCTTGGAGCCAGAGTCGGAGATGTTGTCGACGATCGTCTTAATGTGAGTGAGGTATTGTTGCACGGAGAGATCCTTCATTTGAGTGCGGTATAGCTCGTTCTTGAGCTGGATGACGCGGGAGCGACTGGTCGGTTGAAGGCGCTTCTCAAGAACAGTCCAAGCAGCATTGGCGGTGGAAGAAGTGATAATGTATGGCAAGATGGATTGAGATACCGTGGCAAAAAGAGCTGAAAGGAGATTGCTGTCAATGACCAGCCATTGAGCATAATCGGTAGAGGCGGGATCGGGTGGTGCCGGGACGGTGCCAAGAAGATATCCGGCGAAGCCATTTGTAGTAAATTGCTGTAGAATTTGCGCTCGCCAAATCGAGTAGTTGTCCGGCGTGAGATGATGAGGAGCGAGGTTCTTGATGTTGGAGAGAAGAAATTTTAGATTTGGTGGTATGCAGGCGAAAATTCCAGCGGAGGTGGTAGTTTGGGTGGAGGATGAGGCGGAGGAGGAGGAAGAAGGGGGGGGTAAGGATTCGGGGAGGGGGGGGGGGGGGGCGGGGTAGGGATTCCATGAGGTTCTTGAGCGACCTCTACTGCTCTGATACCATAAGAGCAAATGGAGAAAGAAGGAAGGCAGAAAAGCTGAAGATACTGTGAGGAAGAAAACAAAGAATACAATATTATTTTCATATCTTAAACTGGTACAGATACAAGTATAAATAGACTGAACTTAGGATAGAAAAGTAAATACAAGGCAACGGTCATAACAGATTCTTATATGGTGCTAATAACCGCTAGTTGGGCAAATTATTTTGTACGGATGTCGAACGTTGTCCAAAGACCAACCAGAATGTGCCACGTCACTCCCTCGGTACCGCGCTTGATACTACTAACGTGACGTATTCTGATTAGTCTCCAAACGATTTATTACGTTCTACGTCGGAATAATTTATCCACTAGTTGACACTCACAGTTATTTACTAATAATTATTTTCCACGTGTAAAATTTAAATGATTCCACGTGTAATAAATCTTAGGGTTCACATGCCAGCTGAACTGAGAATGCGAGGAATTATTATTTTAATGAAAAAAAATTATTTTAATGAAAAAGACGTGTGATATTTGATCACGCCTCAGTATTGGAAGCCGGGCAAGTCCAGGCTGTCAACTGGCCTACCAATCAGAAACAGATCGTAGCACAGAAAATCCGACCGTCCATTGATATGACTTTCCCCACAGAACAATTCTGCGGATTTTGAGCGAATTAAATTAAATTATTTAATGATTCAAATTATTATCCCAGATTCCCAGTCAAACATTATATGCTGTATCTCCAAAATGCCCCCACCATACCAACGCGTCTGCTCGCATAAAACTCAGATCGTAGAAGCTTCTTTTTGCCCACGGAACTAAAAGCTGTAAACAGGTCATGGTCCGATCGGGTCGACTCTGACTTGAATATTTGAATCCGATTAAAACACTGATAGGGTAAATTTTAATATTTGAATCATGACTTATTTAGGAAAAAGGTATTCTAAAGATTTTTTAATATAAATTATGTGATTATGAATTAAATGTATATAAGTTATATTATTGAATTTTATTAATTTTAATATAAATCTAATGACTTTTAAATTTATTTTAATACATTTATATTAAATATGTTAAAATATATTTTTAAAAAATAGGTAATTTTTCATGAAAATTCAGCGTCGAAATAACTCGGACCAGAAGGAATCGCATTTCATTTAGGGTCAAATATAAAGATTTAAATGGGGATTTCTTAAATAAGTTGAAATAATATGAACAGGCCTCTTCACCACGTCTCCTATTAAAATCCTTCCTCGAGACTCTTTCTCTCTCATCTTCCCTGCAAACGAAGGGAAAGAGAGAGCTCGCATTCTCTTCTAATGGTGAGATCAAAGACGAGGCATCTCTCATACATTGCGGTACCTTCGCATTTCATTGACCCACTTTCGTCCTCTTCTTTCCAAGGGATCTTGTCGCCGAGGAAGGTTTCTAGGCCGCCGCCAGTGTTCTGCCTCTTCTCCGCTACAAGAAACCCTAGAACCCTTATCGTAGTTCTACTCTTCATTGTCTCGTTACTTGGGTTTCTCAGTATAGGCCTCCGCGACAATCCATTGCTTCCGTACTCTACCCTTCCCTGTGTCACTTACGGCAATCGTCGGAGTTTGAACCCCTCTGCCCAGGCAGAAGCGTCGGCGTTGGCGGCGGCGGCGGTGGTGCAGCGGAAGGAAGAGGCTAAGGAGATGGAATTTTGGAGTCAGCCGGATGGTTTGGGGTATCGACCATGCTTGGAGTTCAGCGGTGAATACAGGCGGGAAAGCGAAGCGGTTCACCTGAATCACCGTCGGAAGTACCTATTGGTAGTGGTCTCCGGTGGGCTAAACCAACAGCGCAACCAGATCGTCGATGCCGTCGTCATTGCTCGCATTCTTGAGGCTGCGCTAGTGATTCCTATTCTTCAGGTTAATGCTATCTGGGGCGACGATAGGTAACCACGGTAGCTCATTCATGTTAAATTTCCCCTTCTCAAAGGAATGTACTCTTGATTCACTTGTTTAGATGCCCTGTTTACTTAAGTTCATTAGAATTATGGATAAAATTTCTTTTTTTTTTGTGTGGATTTTCCTCTTATTTTTTTTTAAAGGCTTATGGTTCCTTTAATGCTGATACTTGGCAGTGAATTTGCTGATATCTTTAATCTGGATCATTTCAAGAAAGTGCTCGCAAAGGATGTTAGGGTCGTCTCCTCTTTGCCTTCGACCCATTTGATGACGAGACCAGTGGAGGCGAAGATAACTCCACTCGATGTCTCTCCTCAATGGATTCGATCAAGATATCTGCGGCGGGTGAGCTTTTTTCTTTCTTTAGTTCCTCCCATTTTAATTTGGATAATTTGAAAAGATTTGGCCAATCATGGAATATAGCATTAGGGTTGCTTGGCTACAATTAGGATTTATTAAATCTTGTAAATTTCAGATTTAGTACCCTTGCAGCGTTAAATTCTGAAATTGTATGATAAAATTATGCTAAATTTGGTAAATTCTAGTAAACTATTTGGTATATGTTTTTGAAATTTAAGATTTAAATGAAAGAAAATAAGAGGCATAATAAACTGAAATACTATAAAAATCTGAAATTCTGTTCCTCATAGATTTATTAAATTCGGAATTTAGCCTAAAATGAGATGAAAACTGGATTTAAAAAAAAAAATCGCTCAAAAACTGTTTGGCAAGATTTAGCCTAAATTGCTAAATCTTTCAACCAAAAGGCAATTTTATTGAAGGGTATTGCAGGATCCGCAATGATTCAAAGACTTGATAATTACCTTTATTGGAATTGACATCTCCAGTATATGTCTTGCTGGCTAGTTCCAATATCCGATTTCTACTATGAATCTTTTAATCATGCTTCTGTAACTTTCTCTTCAGCTTAACAGAGAGGGTGTTTTGCTCCTAAGGGGATTGGATTCCAGGCTTTCAAAGGATCTCCCTCCTGATCTACAGAAGCTTCGTTGCAAGGTACTGGTGTTCTCCCATCGCATCCCCAAGTGCATGAAATTTGTTAGCTATGGCATTAACAAATTTCTTCTTTTAAATTATTGTAGGTCGCTTTTCAAGCTTTGAGATTTGCTACACCTATTCTTGATATAGGAAACAAGCTAACAGAGAGGATGAGAAGCAAAGGTCCCTATCTTGCCCTCCATCTCCGAATGGAGAAGGATGTTTGGGTGAGAACTGGCTGTCTTCCTGGTCTGAGTGATGATTTTAATGAGGTTATTCATGAGGAGAGAAAGCGCCGGCCGGAGCTTCTCACTGCGAGATCGAACATGACCTATGAGGAACGAAAGTTGGCTGGTCTATGCCCCTTGAATGCTTTGGAAGTCACAAGGTATTGCTGCAATCTAATGTTCAAAGATTTTAATTCTAACCTCAATGGTTTCTTTTCATGATAATAGTTATGTTTTTCAGGCTCCTTAAAGCCCTTGATGCTCCAAAAAATGCTAGGATATACTGGGCGGGTGGAGAGCCGCTTGGTGGGATGGCTGCCTTGGAGCCTCTTAGGAAAGAATTCCCAGATTTATACAACAAGCAGAAACTATCCCTTCCTGGTGAATTGGAGCCATTCGCCAAAAAGGCCTCTCTTCTTGCAGCGATTGATTACATAGTCTGCGAGAAGAGCAACGTCTTCATGCCTTCCCATGGAGGAAATATGGCTCATATGATTCGGGTAGTTTTTCTTTCTTCACACTGACCTGAAAAAATTTATCTCAGCTGGTTATCTTTTATAATTCTAGTTGAAATCATACCCACAACACATGAAATACAAGATTTTCTTTCTTCAAAAATGAGACAACTTTGGTATTTTAATATTTTACAAGACAAAAACTGTTTCTAATAGATTGTTGGTTTCCTCATCAAAGATTGGCTCAGAATAATTTTAGTCAGTTTTTCAATGTCGCCAAGCATTCTGAGGCTTATTAACCTTGTTTGTTTCTGATTCAGGGGCATAGGGCTTTTGCTGGGCACAAGAAGTTCATAACCCCAAACAAGCGGCAGATGCTGCCTTACTTGCTGAATAACTCCCTCTCAGAAACCGAGTTCAATAGGATTGTAAAGGAATTGCACCATGGATCTCTCGGGCAGCCTGAATTCAGGACTGATAAGATTGGCAAGGATGTGACGGCCTACCCAATTCCTGAGTGTATGTGCAATTCTACTTCGACGAGGCTTACACTGTAGTAGTAGTGGCTTTCAAAGTTAAGATTATATTGATTCTTTGAGGAGATATTTTTGCCCTTTATCTTCTGACAAGAGGCTTTTATTTCAAAAATCCTTTTTGAATGGAGCCCAAAATTCAAATTGGGGCAACATGGAAAGAGAAACACCTGAAAACTCCATCAATGTGCCCAAGAAGCACGAGGCCTCCTCTTGCTACTACTGCATCACACTTGCGGAGCTGCAGTTTTTTAATTCATTTGTATGTATAAGTTTTTAATTTACAGTGGTAGTTGCAGAGAAGATTCTTTTGTATTCTTCATAGTGTCTGTATCATTAATTATGTATCTACGCAGGCTGTATATAATTAGTTTGGCAATCGGATCCTTCCTATTTGTCTTTCAAATATGGTGGTTTATATCATGCAATCACTTTTTGTTAGGCAGAAATCTAGAAAAAAAGAAAAGAAAAGCTTGTCTTTAGGGGAAACTCACAATGCAAAATAAAATGTCTGAACTTGTAATTCTTTCTTAATTTACAGTCGCCCAATAAACCTCTTTTTTTAGGGTTTGTTTGGTTAATAGCAGGAGTTTATTCAGTGTTGTTTTTTTTTCCTTTTATTTTAAGAATTAAAATTATCTTCCAATAAACCATCAATGCTTCCATAGCATGCATGAACTTAGAACATGCTGTTTTTGTTCTTTGAATGCAAACAACAATAATAGAATGTGTCTGGTCAACAAGAAAAAAAACTAGCAATAAAATTAAGAAGATGTAATATGGAGCATGAACAATAAAAAATGGTAAGAGTGACTGCATGAAAATAAGTAATCAATGCAACAACCTAAAAATGCAACATATCATAGTTCCTATAATAGATTATGTCATGTTGAAATTATTAATGTTTATGTCAAACTATCACTAATACTATCATATAAATATATGCACAAACAATTGTGCTAGTTATCATCATACCTCGTTCTCGATAGGACAAATAAGTCATTCATTATTTTCAACTCATGACTAATTATATAGACATATCTTTACATATCTATAGTTGGTTTTGACAAATACTATGCTGTCGAAAGGTAAACATCAATCTAAAAAATCAAATATTTTTTTTTTAGAGTTTTGACTTTGTGAGCTCGTTGGCCTAGCTAGCCAATATCCAAAAAAATTATTTAGGGACTTACATACAAGCATACAACCCCTATGTTTGTCATAAATAAGCTTTAAATAGATATTCTATATTCAATATGAAGATTGCTATTTTGTAATAAATTATGATGTATAAGAATAACATTAATTACATCAATCAATATACTAGAGTTTGTGCATAAAATAGAACATTTTAAAATAAAGATATGACTTACAATTAAACTAATTATCTAATAAACTAATACAAATAACAATGATTATGCTCGTAACAAAGAAGTGTATGCTTATCCCAACAAAAAAAAAAAAAATATTAGTTGCCTCTAATTGAGTAACATAAAACTACAAATCTACTTAATGTTCAATCGATCATATTACGTAGAACTTAACTAGAAAATTCTAAAATGAAGAGCCCTAATTCATAAGATTAAAGAATCAATTATTTAAAACATAAAGATGAACTTAAAATAGCTTGAATACCTAAATTGAAGTTTTTTTTTTTTTTTTTTTAATTTAACCAAGCTTAAGTGGTTTAATCTATAATACAATTAAGTTGAATGCTACAAATATAAGATATATTTTTACAATCTACCAATTCAATTACATAATTTTTATTTTATAATTAAAATAAAACAAAAATTTAAATACATTAAAAAATAACTAAATTTATAAGTAAAGCCAAATGAAAACCTAAAATATTCTAATCCATCCTAAATACCAAGAACATTGCTCATGATTATTGATAATTTCGGTTAACAAATAAATAATGTTGACGAGATAAATATGTTATTCTTTAACTTCACCATCACAATACGAAGAGGGAGGAAGTAGAGAAGAGAAAAAATATAAGGACTTTTGACGTAGTGGTTTTCTTTGATGTGGATATTTGGTTGAAGGAAAAGAAAAGACATGAACCTTCTCTGATGACGGTTATGGGCCAATGAGGTATAGAGGGTGGTGAGGAAAACATTTAGCGATTGTTGCAAGACGACTTGAGCTCTCGCTAACCCAACTCGTTAGTTGGCGAGTTGGCTTGTTTAAAATATATTAATATAAAATACACTTAAAATATATTAGCATTCATGATTTTTTTAAATTAAAATTTTAGGAAGATTTACATACATACCACTATATTATTACTATTTTATATATCTAACACCTCAAATATTAATTTTACAACTATAACACCCAAAACCTAAGTTTACATCAAATCTACCACTTCGTCTCGCACATAGTTGATGACGTTAAGGGCACCGCCGTCGGCTCCAGCCTCACCTCCACGTTCCTCTTTGAAACCAACATCCTCGCCAAATTAAAAACACCATGGCAGACCCATTACTACAACAAAAGCAAAACAAAAGCTCCTCGGTAGACCCACAGCGTGCTCACCACCGCCGTGACCAGACTCTTTCGGCAATGTCAAGAATTGAGCTTTCCTGTACCCATCAACCAGGAAAACATATTGCTTCCCCTTCTCTACTTCATCCATCAAAGGAATGAAAGCCTGGACTTCACATACCCAATTCCAAAGCTTCCAGGGAAGATAGTCTGCACCATACTATCTTCCCCATAAGCAGTGTGATGGAGTCCACGATCAGCACGGAACTCTTCGAAGACTCGCCCGAGCTGCACGCGATTTAAACGTGGCACGGCAAAGAGAAGAGCGGCCACATGGACTCCCCGCCCATTCGGGGAGCTTCCGTCGCCGACCATAGAGGAGGGCGAGGGGGGCGGACATCGTTGGCGGAAAGGGCCCATCAAAGCCGTCGTGAGCTATGTGTGAGACGAAGTGGTAGATTTGAGGTAAACTTAGGTTTTGGGTGGTATAGCTGTAATATTAATATTTGGGGTGTTAGATGTGTAAAATAGCAATAATATGGTGGTATGCGTGTAAATCTCCCAAAATTTTATGCTTAAAAGTTAATTAAAAAATCAATTAAAAAGCTATTTGAAATAAAATCCTAATAACTGCAAATTAATTATAATGATTGGATATTTTGAATGTTACATATTACTTTAACTATCTTTTATTTAAAAAAGCCACATAAAGTAAGTAATGAAAATATATTAATTTTGTGATCATGAACATCATTGCTTATTAATACAAAAAGTTTAAGTTTTAAAAAAAAAATCTTTATAAATGGAGTCTTTCCCGCGTTGCCAATGCTTTTACATATTAAAAATCATACCAAAATATATGAAAAAGAAAGAAAGAAAGAAAGAAATTCATTTTTTATTAGAAAAATAAATTGCCAATAAATGAAATTCAGCAGAATATCAAAAAATACTTATTTCCCCTCTCCAAATGTCAGATAGAAGTGCTATTAGGGATCCCCCGACCGGTGACCCCCGCCGCTGAGAAAGGCTTCATGAGCTCATAAGCTAACACGCCGGCACCCTTCCGATTTCTCAGCCCAACATCCCCATTCCTCTCATCGATAATCCCCTCAATCTCCTTCAACCTCCCATTAAACCTCTCGAACGCCGCCCTTAGCACGGAATCTTCCTCCCACGCCGCCTCGGCCGCCGCACCAAGATACTCCTCGTCCGGCGAATGGTTTGACAACACGTCAAGCACCGCCATCACAATCGTCGCTTGAATTTGTGACGGGAAACATTCCATCAGTGTCTCCTCTGGCTTCTCCACAAACTTCTCGAACCCTCCGCTGTGGCCGGAGATGTCTTGTTCAGTTGGCATTGGAGTTCGGGCTATGGTGGGCCGATTGGGGAAGTAACCGCCGTAGTCATACTGGCCGAAATTGACGGCAGCGTGGTGCGCAGAGGCGACCCAGATGATCGTGGTGAGAACATCGGCGAGGACGGTGGAGTCGGTGAGTTTGGGCCACCAGGGCTCGTCTTTCTTGTCGGCGTGACCGCGGGTGCGCACCTCGGTCCAGAAGGATTGGAGCTCGACATCATCGGAGACGGTGGAGGGTTGCGGGTAGTAGTGGGCGACGTAGCTCGAGACCCAGTCCGAGATAGCCGACCAGATTAGGAGGCCGTCGGCGGCAAAAGGGTAGTCTGATATGGCTAGCCTTAGCCCGTGCTCTGCCTCGGAGTCTTTCTCGGCCATTCCTCTGCGCAGGAAGCCGCCAATATTTCACAATTTTTAAATTTCAAAATTTTGACTTAATGTGAGACATATTGTATCAATCTACATAAAAATTTAAATGGTTTCAATTTCAAAATAAATTTAATAATTTTAAATTCATCTTTATAAATATGAATCATAATTCATAATATTATGGCATAGTTTTTGTTCATTTTGATAAGAATAAAATTTAAAAATAAACACATTATAAATTTAATAATTTTAAATAATATAAAATTACATACTTTAAACTTAAACTAATTTTAGTTAAATGAACTTGAAAAATTAGTTCTGATTTTTTTATTGTATTAAATGATATAAATTTGCATAGTTTTAATTGAGATATTATTTTATGGAGTGTAAGATAATTATTCAAAAGAAAAAAAAATCAAAATTGTAAGTCAACATAATTTTATTTTGATAGTACCCAATTAATATTTATTTGATAATTATTATGCACTTGTCTAATATTTTCTCATATAATAGCATTTACTTATGATCCAAATTTTCTCTCAAAAAATAAAGATGATGTTATTGTTGTCTAACCTTTTGATCAGATCTGCAGGTAATCCCTCTCTATCAAACCGCCATATTTGATCATAGGCGGCAGAACTGAGCTCCATCGAGTACTTAAGCGTCGAGAACGACATTTCGATAATGCCACCTCCAGAGATTAGATATTTGCGCGCAAGAGCGTTAATCTTCATCGTATATCGAAAGTGAGGATGAAGAAGCCTATAAATTGGGTGAATCACACTGAGTTGTCTATTGCCAGCAATGATATATGGCTCAACAGAGCCATGAGTCCTCAACCTGGAAATGTTATTTATGCAAAGTAAGCCAACATTAATATAAGCTGGTTTAGTTAATTTGTCAAGTACATAAGATTAGTAATATGCACCAATGTGAAATGAGCTCATGGTAGCCAGAGTCATGAGCACAAACATGAGCCTTGGCGAATCTCCAAAGCCAATTCAGTGTAGCATCCGAGCTTGGAGTGAACACTTGCTTCCATTGGGGATTCTGAGGGGACTGTGGGCGGGTGAGTTCTATCGCGATAGGCGTTAGAGTGTTATTGCTCTTGAGGAAGAAGAGGGTTCGAGAGCCATACAAGGTGGTGCCTTGTAATTCTCTAACTTTGTGAACAAATGGGAGAAAAAGGTCATGGTAGTCTAACATGAACAGTCTCTTTCTCTGCATTGCCTGCTCAATATAGTATATATACAACCAATCTTGATTCAATTTTTGTTGATTTTGTATCAAACGTTGTTAAGAAAAATACAAATCACACAGACGCGCGCACCTCGCTTGCAGTCATTTCCCCATGGATTTCTCTTTCGATTATTTCCTCTGTGATTGCTGATTCAGGAGGACCATAAATGATGGGGTCAAGCTTGCTAATTAGAGGAAGTTCCTGCCAAATGATGCGTAAGTTGAATTAATGAACTGTGATTGCTGCATCTTAAATATACTATTTAGTATCTTATCAAATACTTGTGAAGATAGTACGACTGAAAAATGATAATGATGCATGCCAAGACCTTAACAAGTTCGATGGCATAAGGATTGACGCCTGCCAGTGTTTGCCTCGCAAATTCTTCATCTCTAAGCCATGAGAACTTATCATCTACAGTTATGAATCAATAAACTTTATAAGCTCAATCAATCAAAGTAACAAACTGTTTTAAGATATAATGAATTTTCCCAAGATATTAATTAAGACTTACTCTTAATTAGAGAAGGAATCTCAAACTGCAAGACATCATCAGCGGTGTCTTTAATTGAATTGCAAAGCTTGTGAAGCAGGGCTTTTGGCCCGTGAACGTTATCTGGAACCTTGAAGCCCTGATCGTATAATTCATCAATGTCTATGAAATTCTTAAAACCTACATTTATATCGATTAATGCAGAATTAACTGCAGGAATGATCGCATGCAGAACTGATGTCAACGTCTTTCCATTGAAGGTCAACGTCTTTACTTCTGAGAAGGCCTCATCCCTTGGCACATAAATGGATGAGCCTTTTGATTCTGAAAGAGGATCTGCTTTCACAAATATAGTTAAAATACTGAAAACCATTTTAAAGGATAAAGCAGGCCGACGTCAATCTAAAAAAATTAAGCTCAGGAGACTGATCTGAAGACTCTATTTTTGTGAACTAAAAATAACTGTTTGTAATTGTCTTAATTATTGTTTTGCAAAAAAAGAAAAACAAAACGATGATATTTTTTACAAAATCTCAAGAGTTATATAAATTGTAGTTTGAGGTAGATCTGTAAAATAATTGTTTCAGGATATATTAGGAATTAAGATACCCCTGATACAATCTCACTACTCCCATTAATGTATAATTTGCAAGTGATCACACAACTTTAGCCCAATTAATAATCTTGAGCTAAACTCTAACAAAGGAAATTCTCACACAACTTTAGCCATGCATGCAAGCACCATAGAAAGACTATATATCCATCAAAGATTTGGAGCTTCATACCATTGTGTGAAGGTGGACGACCAGTTCTACAACGACGAGGGTAAGGGTACTGCCTGCTGCCTCCAAGGATTGGTCTGGCTAGATCTTCATTGCTGTCAGGGTCACCAAGATCATTATAAGTATCATAGTCATAAATCCTCTCGTAGGCCTTTCGTTCTCCGTGTCCGTCTCCCCTCTTTGCCTCGAGATCTTTCCTCCTTAATCTCTGTAGGCCACTTGGGGTACTGGATGGCAAGTAAGACTGAATTGTGTATGAAGAAATGAAACTTGGTTAGAACATATAATATTAGATTCTATGTTCTTTATTATCAAAATGAGCAAAACATAAGTGTTAACCAACCTTGTTTGTGAAGAAGATCCTCTTCTCTGAGCTTGTTGACTTGGCCTGCACCCATGAGTTACAGGTAATTACTGAGAAATTTTCGCCAACCGTGTAGTCTGTGGTGATGACAATATCCTTGAGAAAAATTTCTTTGTGATTCTCATTCAAGACTAAAACTCCACCGATTTCACCGAAATCGCTCGGGACTGTGAAAGAGGCCTCGTACTGTACATCTTCTCCTTCTTTGCTCTTCTTGTGAGCGTTTACTGCCACCGTTTTCTCTAATCCTGAGGCTGAACAGCAATGGTAAAGTTTTCTTACTGTGTTTTCAAGAATTTTTTTTCGTATACAAAATTTTAAATAAAAAAAATGATATTAAAAAAATATTTAAAATAATAAATATGCTGTGTTCAATTTAATAATTTTAAATAATTATAAAATTTTTATTAATTAAATATACTGACCCCACCTCCACGTGGCCGACACCGTCATAATTTTTTTTTGGTGTGGAAATGACACATTCACATTTTTCTTTTATTAATTAATTTTTATATAAGGGATCATCTTCTTGTCATAAATGTGACCTTTCGGCCAGCATGACAACATGGTTTTCATAATATTGAATATAAATAATTAAATATTTTGAACATGTATATATATAAAAAAAATCAGGATATCGATCAAAATTTTAATTAAAATAATTTTAAATTTATTGAATTTGTTTTAAGAGGAGCAAAATCTAAATTTTAATTGTAATTTAATGATTTAAAATATATTCTAAATTTTTTTTTTCAAAGGATAAAAGTAAAATGATTTTGAAAATTTAGAAGAATTTTTATTCGAAAATGATTAATTTAATTTTGAACCCCTAACTTTCCTTATTATGTGGTGAAAGAAGTAAAATAAATTTATAAAAAAAAAGTAAAATAAATTTATTTTATCATGAATTAAAATCATTACAATTCTTTTATACTTGTAAAGTGTGGCTGAACAAATTATCATTTCAATCATCAAATTAATATATTTATGATTAATATATTTATAACGCTTATTTTTTTTGTTATTACATTTGTAATTAAGTAGTTTGTCATGGAGCATTGCGTGAAAAAAAAATATTGACTTTCATTGTGTGGGGATGAGCATTGTTCTTTGAGCTCGTTTGATTGGTTGAGGTTAGAAAATATATTTAAAAAATGATAATTAGGTTATTAAATTCAATCATGTGATGAGAGCTCTTGATATATTATATTAAAAGTACAAAATAAATTATAAAAATAGAAATTAAGTCATTTATAAGAATATACAACATATTTTCTTAGGATAAAAAATTAAAATAAAATACTTATTTTGAAAGTATTATACAAACATCTTATTTTTTTGTCAATTATCTTTTTATTTAAACTATTTGTTTGTCACTAATGAAATAATTTAAAATCTTTTCGAAATTATATCATCATAACATCATTACAAAAATAGAGACAAAAAAAAGGAGAGTAATAAACTAATCATTCAATCTGCTTCAGTACCTCTCTACCAAATCTACTAAAAATAAAAATAAAAAAAACATGATAATCAGTTTAAAATATATGTAAAATAATAAAAATAATAAAATAATTCCTGAGATCGATCGATCTTACTTTCTAATCAATAAATAATTTCATGAGAACAAAATTTTTGTACTTACAATGATCGAGCTCGGTTCCTACGAACTCCATATACAGATTTCCGCGAAACAAATCAACGAAGCCATCGATCACTCTCGAGAGGTCAATGCAGCCCAAGGTTTCTCCAGCCGTTAGCTTCACAGTAGCAACAGCTTTCATGGCTTCTGTCGCTATACTCAATGTGGAAGAAGAAGGGAGAGGAGGACATATAAGATAGGGTTAATTACTTAGCTGGTGCACGACTATAAGACCCTCGTCCCTTCTTCTTCTTCTTCTCCTCCTCCTCCTCCTATAATAAGAGAAGTCAACATCAAGAGAGTAGTTGGCCTTCTTTAATTGGTGAAGAAGCAGCAGGAAGCTAGGCTTTACACGTTGCTTGGAATTAGTTATGTGCGAAATAATTAAATTACGTTCAAATTTGATGTAGCCTTTCATAAGGATTTGTTAAAGGTAATCTAAGTTATAGGCCAACTAATCCTTATAGCTCAAGTAATTTAATTAAATGGTAATTAAAGTTTAATTTGAGTTGATTAATCTCTGAAGATTTTCTATAACTTTAATGGAAAGTCTATATAAGCTGTTTACTGGTATATAAAAGTTGTTCAGCTGGAGAAGTATTTTTTATTTTTTTTAATTATTAGTACACGTGATTCATTTGGGTTTTAAATGTATTGATTTATTTGTGAAGTAAGCATTCCACACTTTTTTTTTTGGAGGAAATTTTGGTGCAGAGCCCAATTTTTATAAAGCTAAATAAAAATTACAGAAGATGGCAGCAAATATAAAATAAATAGAGAAGATCTTAAAAAATAAGAAACAAACGAAGAAAAAAACTAGAAACCAATAGAGTACCAACTCTTCAAAGAAGACCAGAGAATAGTTTGGAAACAAAAGAATTGGACTTAGATTATTCAAAGCCAACCTTTATATTCCTCTGATGTATATCTAAATGGGTCTTCTCGAACAAAATTGGGTTGATTTAGGCTCGAGGCCATCCAGACAGCGCAGTTGGCATGAGGACATTTTTTGCTTCTTGAATTTGAACTTCCCTTGGTTGCCATGAAGGTCATCTGATGTGGTACAGTTTAGGGAGCTGAACACCTGAGGAGTATTGAACACCACTATAACGAATTACCCACATTCTCTTGCCCGAATTCAGAACCACGTTCCACGTTCTCGTCCTTTTCAATTACTACATAATTAGCATTAGCCTAGCCTCTACTTTATTAGCTAACTACTAGCTTTGCCTCTTTAGTTATCTTTTTACAACTTAGCTCATATATATTGTTGAATTAGAAAGGAACGAAGGCAGAGAAGATATTACTAACCAGTACCCAATCACTGTTTCATTGTTCTGGAGTTTTCTTGTACTGAGGCTTTCGGTTGTAGGGTTTAGATTGTTTTTGTTGCAGGTTTGCACAACCATCCAAGTGTTTGAATATAAATAGTTGGCTTTGATCATCATCGTCCTGATAGAATTAGCCAAAAGCTTGCATTGCTGAAGTCAGCTGAACTAAAGTTCTTTAAATAACAGAATTCCTTGAGTCATTGATCTTCTTATCATTAGCGCTTTTCAAAATCTTAAACTGAATAGCCTTCTTCACTTCAGTGATTAAATAAGACGGATCCTTCCAGCTTTTAGAAAATTGTCTGTTATTCCTTTCTTTCCATAACAGGAAAATTGAGGAGCAGATTGTTAATAAGAGAATCTGCTTTTCTCTTTTATTTGATTGTTTATAATTATCAATACAATCAAATAATTGAAAAATATTAGGTCTCATTAAAAAACAAATCTATGAAAGGGAATAGACCCTTAATCACAACAAAATAATAATCAAATTTAAAGAAGACGTGCATATGATTTTCAGCCTTCTTGTTACATAAAGCTCAGATGGCAGGCGCGTTAATTTTCCTATTATTCAACAAATATGCAGTTTTCAGCCTTTTAATACTTGCCTCCAGATGAACGAAGAAAATCTAAGAGAACAATTTTTATGCCAAATATAATTATGCCATATAACCTTGCCTTCTTAATTGAGAAAAATAATTATCATAAAAATTCCTGTAAGACGGTTTTTGAAAACCTTCCCAAAAAACTTCTCTATTTTCAGCAATTTTAATATCATTGATGTAGTTTTTAACAAATATAGTAAAGTGTTCAAGAATAATCCACTTGCCATTTTGCATAAAAGAGTTAACGACAACATTTGAAAGCTTCGAAGGAGGCAAAATTTCAGCTACACTTTTGTCATTAAGGCCTGGGTCTCAATAAAAGGAAAAATTTCTATTAGCATCAATATTTGAAGAAATTTTGTTTTTGATCAAAAGAGCAATGTGGCAAATGTGCTTCCACATTTTAGATGCTTGTGTAAGAGGTGTTTTTCAAGGAGAGATGAATTTCTTTCTATACCATTCCGCAATAGCCGAATGAGCAGTGAGAAATATCCAAATGAAAGAATAAGTAAATTTATGATTGAGAGCATCAATAGCAAGAATTTCTAAGCCGCCATTAATGTTTGGTTTACAAATATTTTTCCAAGAGATGATATGCATTTTTCTATCAACAATATTCCTGTGAAGGAGAAATTTTGAACAAAGCTTATTAATGATCTTACAACACTTCTTAGGAATTATGGCTCATCTAATCCAATAAGCAATAATATAAGAACTACTAAATTTTAAAAATTGAGGTCAACTTGCAAAGGTTATAAATTTAACATTCCATCCATCTAATAAATAATAAATTTTCTTTAAAAGCAGTTGAAAGACCACATTTCACAAATTGTCTTTGGAAATAGGTAAACCTAAGTAAGTGAAGAAAGGCTCAATTTTGGTTAAACCAAGAATTGCACTAGTGTCTTCAATAATAGAAGTACTGGTAGACAATATAAGATAGAATTATTGTTGACATTTACCCTAACAGCAGAGGCTTCAATAAACTTTTGAAGAATAAACTTGAGATTAGTTACATTTTGAATGTCATTCTTCCCTAAAATCAATAATTCATCAGCATATACCACATGTTTAAGAATATTGCCAGTATCAGTAATACCATAAAAAGTGTTTTCTCTATTTGTTTCAAGAATGCAAGAAAGAATATTCAAGACGATTCTGAAAAGAAGAAGAGAAAGCAAACAACTTTGTCTAAGACTTGAAGATGATTAAAAGATAATTAACTATATTTATTTAACATTCATCCAAATAATTTTAAATAACTACTTTTTTTCCTCAGTATTTTATTTTACTACAAATTTTTTTAATCCAACTAAATTTCCCCTTAAAATGTCAATGGAGATAAAATTGTTAATCAAAAGAATGAAAATTCAAATTAACTTTTAGTAAGGAAATCGTTTTTAAAATAATAAACTAAGTAAATTAGGTAAAATTGATAATGGTATGTTCACTCCACTACTTGTCATAATATTTCTTTTTGGAAACTATTATTATAATCAAAATAGCTTAATAATTAGATAAAATTTAATGATGTTGAAATTCGGCGCTTTTCTTCATGAGCAATATTTCAATTTTTATAATCAATCTAATCTTTTGAATAGACAGACTTTGAAGTTGACTTGTCAAAGTCTCTTTGTAATTATTTATTTTGACGGAGAGAAGAATTCTCTTAATTGCAATACTTTGATTTGTAAATGTTGCTTTGTATATATATATATATATATATATATATATATATATATTAGGGCTGCAAACGATTTTTTTTTTGTTTCGCCTTAAAAATCATGCTATGGGCTGCAAACGAATTGAATCGAAACAAGGTGTTCATGTTTTAGTTCATTTATTATTAGCTTGTTGAAATGCAGTTTGAGTTTTATTCCAGCATTTTTGTTTGTGTTCAAACTTGGTTCGTTTAAATTAACTGGTATTCATGTTTGATTTATATTCAATTCATTTTGTGCTTATCAAGCTTTAAACAAATGAGCATCATCAAGTTATAAATGAGCTCCATTTCTAGATGTACATTAACTTAACAAACAAGTCTTATCATGTTCGTGAATATATTTAGCGAAATTTTTTAAACTATCAAACAAGTTTGTTCATAAACATATCTAATGAGTATTCTTGAACTATCAAGTGAGCCCGTTTATGAACATATCTAATTAGTATTTTCATGCTACAAAATGAGCTCGTTCACAAATAAATGATATATGATTCATCTTATGTTTATTTGAAAAGCGGGTTGTTCGTGGTTTTAGGGAGGACGATGTTGAAGAGGAAAGAAGCCATGCATGAAGGTTGAAGGGATACGATGGAACCGAAACATAAGTGAAGATGATGTTGAAGAGGAAAGAAGCCATGCATGAAGGTTACTATAAGTTTGCTGAAATCGGAGTTCAGATGCTCTCGGATTTAATTTTTGAAGTTTCCAACTTGTTTTTTGCCTCGAGATTCGTGCCCGATCAAGATAATTTTTGCATGACGTGTGTATATATACAAACTGAGCGTCTCGGAAATACAAACCCAACGACACCAAATTCAACTCAATCCGAGCCCAAATGAGCCCAAATCAAGCACCCAAAGTGCTGTTGGAAAGTTCCTACCGCAATTTGAGTTACCAAACGGTTTCCGATTTAAACGAGCTTATAGTCAAATCGAATGGATCGACAAGACGAATCCAACAAGCTCAAGATCGTCGAATTCCGACATCATTAAGACCTTCAAATTTCTGATGAACGGTGCACGATCATGGGATTCAATATCAACCGTTCATTCGACCACTCCCTATTTGCCCCTGATCTCACACTTATTTACAAGCTATGCCACTCCAGAAAATTTATAAATAGACCCCTCATTTCTCATGAGGGGAGACCGAAGCAAGAAGCAAGAAGCAAGAAGGAGGAGAAGTGAAGAATGGGAGGGAAGAGACTCCGCCTCGACCATGCCGGAGTTCCACCTTAACTCCTAATGACACCAGAATTCTACCTGACTTCCACGGGACATCGGAATTCTGCCCTACTTCCACGGAACGCCAGAATTATGTTTGACTCCCACTGGACGCTGAAATTCTGCCCAAGTAACGACAGAATTCCCCCCATGATGCCGAAACTCCGCCCAAGTGATATCGGAGTTCTCCTCGGCCTCCAACAGACGTCGGACTTCTACCTGACGCCGTCCTTCTAGCCTTCCTTGTCATACAACTGCCCTTCCTACCTTCGTCGCCAGCCGACTACAATCTTTCTGACTTACGTCACCTGCCGACTACAGTCTTTCCGACCTCCGTCGCCCATCGACTACGGTCCTCCTT